CCCCAAAACCCCAAAACCCCAAAACCCCTTTAGGATACAACATGGAATATTAGGAATAGATATCTCAGTGATATATTGCGGTCTAATCTGTGAGTATATACCCAGCATTGAGCTTGCCCAGCTCATCTTCGTACTCTAAGATCCTTGCTCACTGGAGTAAGATCACTTTTATATTACTCTTAACCTTTTCATGTGAGGTATCCTTATGTAGCTGTACCAGAACTTTTAGGTTGTCAAGCTGAAGATGTGGAACAGCATCAACTACAGCTGTGAAGAAAGTTAGTGCAACCAAAACCTCATGTGTAATGACCAGACTTTCAACATTTTTGATAATGGTGTCTACCAAAATGTTTGGCAGATCTGAACAATCTTCCTGAATCTGTTTTATGTTGGCTTTGTTATTTACAGCACAATCTGATTCACTATAGAGATATGTAAGCAAAAATTACTTTTGAGGCATTAGCAAGGATCTCTTGGTCATTGACATACTTTAAGACAACTCCTAACTTCTTGATGCAATCTTTTTCATTGAGATACATCAGGATAGAATCCTCACTTCTTAGTGAGCTAGCAAGGCACCTCATGAGATATTTTAGAGATTGAGTTGTTGGCTTAGCTAAAAATTATGATAAGCTGCTTACTAATTTCCTCCATCAATGCTTTCGTGTTGATTAACTGTAAGAAAACACCATGCATATTCTTGGTTAAAACAAGCTCAAGATTCATATCATTGATCAGTGCAGGTTCAAGGATGGACAACTGAGAGAATATTTTCTGCTCATTTTCATCATTTCTAGCAACTTTTCATAACTTTTTCAGTTTCGAACAAACTGTTTGGGCAAGATGGGACTGGTGAGATCCAAGTATATATCTGTTTGAAATCTCTGGATCCTCATGAGAATACTGGAGTTTAAATACATTTACACAGTGACTTAAAGCTTGTGGTGTGAGATATATAGCATTTCTAGAAACCCATTCAAATGCATTCATCCGTTCAGTAAGATCTAATTTCAAATTCTTCATTATCTTAGTTTTAGTAATACTCTGTTCATCAACAAAGCCTTGAACAAAAGTCCAAAGCTGCTCAGACTCGGCTACGAGCACGCTAAGCTTTGCTGAGTCATCCTCAGCCCACTCTAGTGCTTCTAACTTCTTCCTATGTTGCTTGACTGCTTCCATATCTTTGAGGATCTCTTTGAGCTTCATATCAGAGGAATCTTGGTAATCTGTGAACTCTTTCTTGGAATTGTCAATACTAGCCTCTATTTCACGAATCTTTATATAATTGTTATTTGACGTCATCTTGATCAAGGAATCTATTTCCTTGCTCTGAAGCCCAAAGACCTCATCTAGCTCATGCTGATAGGTGCGTATTGCAAGGACATTCTCTTCAAGCTTATTTTATCTACAGGTTTAGTCGAGGATTTACCTTCTGGAAAGCCACCTTCATATCTGCGTAGGTAGGAATGTCCTGGTTTTCTCTTTGGATTACTAACTGCTCAAGCCTGGATACTTTCTTTTGGACTAACTTCTTGATATCATCCATGGTTTGGTAGATTTCATCTGTTTTCAGAATTCCATTTTCATGATTCTCATTCAACTGTTCTTCAATCTTGCTAGATTTTTGGTTTAGGAACTTCAGTTTGTTGATCACGGCCTTTATCTGTTCCTCAAAGTGCCCCTCATGTTGTTCAAGGAGATCGATTCTTTTAATAATTTTGTCATTTAGAAACAACTCGATCTCATCGATTTTTGAGTTAAAATGGTTGAAGGTCGAATCTATCTTGGCTACACTTTCAAGAGCCGACTTTTTATCAGTCGTAGGTCCAGGCTGTTTGTCTCTAAATGCTTCTATATAGTTATTCAATCTGATGTTTTCCTCCCTGTTGCTATTTAATATCTTCTGAGAGCTGTCCACGGATCTTCTCGATATGGTTGTAAATTTCTTGGAATGCGCTTCCTACAGTTTTTCCATGATCCTCAAAAGCTTTGAAGAGCTGTTGTTGAGCGTTGTTCAGATCCTCTAAATCTCCCCATTGCCTTGAAGATTCACCTCTTTTGATCCTGTGTAGAATGCCAGACTCTTCAGATAAGTCTGTGTAATCAATCTCAGGGGATTTCCTTAGGATAAAACTTGTAAAATCAAGAGCGGTATTCACCTCATCCTCATCAGAAGATGCGAGGAGCCTCTCAATTTTGCATTTCTTGATCAAAGCTTTTGAGAATGTTGTTTCAAAGACTCAGTCTTCCTTGACAGCTCTCAGCAGAATTCTGAGGGCTTTAGAAGACTCTTTTGACTCAATACCGTTCTTAATCAATGATACACAAGTTGAAATAAAATCCTTCTCTAGCTTCACTAACTTTTCTCTGGGAAGATCCTTGATCTCTTCATAAGCTTGCTCTAATTCCTGGGCTGAAGGGGATGCTTAGGGTGATGACAAAATATTGAAGGGTGTCTTCCAAGATTAGCTTACCGTTATTCACGCTCTTCCATCCACGTTTCTCCATGGTTGTGCTAATTTGTAATTAATTCTAAGAAAATCCTGGGGTTTTGGGGTTTTGGGGTTTTGGGGTTTTGGGG